ACGATCGTGGAAATTAAGAAACTTTGGCAATCACTTTTCACAGTATGGGTGACCAAAATTGTACTATGGCGAGCTTCTTCGTGCTTTGGAAGCACATTAAGCCGTTGCTCTCATAGAGAAACTTGAATATAGTTAGTTGGTCCTGGCTGCATCTGAGGGGCTGCTTACGCTCCTACCTAAACCTACGCTACAGATGTGAGAAATTTCAAATTTGACATAACTTTCATACATTTATGTCAAAATTAAAAAACGTCATGGTAAAAATATGCACTCAGAGTGTAGGTTTGGAACGCAGCCCTGTATCCTTAGCACCAACCAATATCGGATTCGAACAGTTTGCGAGTTTGAAATGTCATTGTCAAATTTTTCACGTCACGTCTTGGTACATTTTTTACTTAGAAGTGACGTCACGAGGCCCTATTCCTAATCTTTAAGCACCTTATTTTTGTCATTTTTTGGTGTTGTACTTATTTTATCTGACGACTCAGACAAAGAATATTCAGTGTCCGAATTAACACTTTTTTATTTTAAAATTTTTTGGTGAAAATTCCATTTTGGGGTTCCGTACCTCAAATGGAAAAAACGGAACACTTATAGGACCACTTTGCTGTCCGTCAGTCCGTCCGTCTGTCAAGACCGTTTTTCACAGGAACGCTTGGAGGTATCAAAGTGAAATTCATATCTAATACTCAGGTCTACTGTCCCTTGAAGCTTTGAAAAAAAATCAAACTTCTAAGCCAAAGCAATCAAAAGATGCAGCCGTTTATGCCGGGTACTTCTCGTGAACTTAGAATCTTGAAATTTGGTACGAAGGAACATTTTATAGTACAGATAAAGGAAAAATTGCGAAAACCGTAAATTTTTAGCTACATCCGTGGTTACATCATATAATAAAAATATTTTTGAAATTTTAAAGTTTCTACTTCTTTTCTCATGAACGCGTAGAGGTATTAAATTGAGTTTGTACGGAACCCTCGGTGCGCGAGTCCGACTCGTACATGGCCGAGTTTTTTTTTGATAATTTAACTGACGGGCTTCAAAGAATTTCGTTTACTATACCCCGTTATCATCCCTATTAATTATTGATAAAATTAACATAGACAAAAAAAACTTAAGAAAATTTAACTAGAAAAAAATCACGCGGACCAGGCAGCAGACTGGACTCGAACATCTGGTAGCTAAATGCTTAAAAAATAAGAATATAAAAGAAATATCTGTTCAATCGCTTTGATTGATGTCTAGGTTGAGCGTGATTGATGATCACAGCTAGACGATGGTCTATTAAAAAAAAGATAGTTTTAACAGGTAATCCATACAAATAAAATAGGAAGAAAGTAGCAAATAACACGAAAAGTAAAATTGTTCACAACTTTTTATTGCACCGTGTAACATTTGTATAACAATTGGTTATCAAGACTGTCTTAATGTACAGTGAAACACACTGTGAAATGTACACATTAGGCATACCTACTACAATAAACTTAACACATAATGTTTCATAAATTATTTCCATCCTTACAAACATTAGTTCTTATATATTTTTTGGGATGTCTGACTCCTAAGCAGCGCTACAATGAACTGCTCCCATTCTATACTGACGCAAAATCTAAAACTAAAACTTTTAATATGGAAATTAAATTGTGTCTTTGTTATTGTGAATGTGAAGAACACATAGCCATCAAGTTTGCTGGTATTTACCGAATTAATTTCTTGAAAATTTCATTTTTTTTCTTGAAAATTTCAAAAACTAGGGAGACACCATAACTACTTGCTTGGTGTACTTCATCTACATTAGGAAAACCATCAACCCTTTGTGATTCAGTTGCAGTTCAAACCCTTCATTAGTAACAATCTGAAAATAGTGTAAATTTTCTGTTAACCTTTCCCTGATTTAATATTTTATGACACTCGCAGAAAAGCTAAATATTCAAGGGATCGCCTAGGGCTCTGTTTATTTTCATCGGTGTATTTTGATTCAAGTTTTAATTTCACAATTTTAGACTTAAAACATCGCCCTTCGTCCCATTTTTTTATTATATCGACATCGCGACTGAACAAATCATCACTGGAATGCATCGCATCGTACAATTATGTTTGTGGTTTGTGGTATTCATGCAATATGTCTGTGGAGTACTTTTGATTCGCATATTTTAGTAACCAAATATCTTTAGACATACTTTCTCTGGGCATAATAGATAATACTTTGCCATTTTTATATATCATTTAGGTTTTACCAGACGACATCTGCTACAATAGGGATGATGACTAATTGTTTTTTTCTTCGTTTATCAGGTAGATTATAAAAAAGTATTGGACACGTTTTTTTTTCTTTTTTCACATAATATAAACATTGCAGAGATATATTGATTTGAAAAGTCGCATGACGTCACGTTTGAGTACACTTATAAGTGAAAATTCACTCAAAAGTGATTTCACGAGCCCCTACTCCCAAACTTTGACGCGCTATAACTTTGTCATTTTTTGGTTGATTGCCCAAAGAACTAAATAGAATTTCGTTTACTGTACCCCGTCATCACCCCTATTAAATGAGGGCTACCGTTTATTTTCTTACCGGATGGAACCACTGTTGAGTAAGTTTCTGAAGTTTTGCTAAAAACATATATGAAAAGAACTCGTTACTTTTAACGAAAAATATTTTCACCTACATCTGAAGTAGCCGTTCATTAAGAACGCTCAATTTTGCACCGCTTTTAAATCACTGAAATGTTACTCATATTTGCCATAACTAGTCTAATAATCTGACATGTAACTCATATTTGCCATAACTAGTCTGATAATCTGACATGTAACTCATATTTGCCATAACGAGTCTGATAATCTGACATGTAACTCATATTTGCCATAATTAATCTGTCACTGTCAAATATTCACAACATTATTTTTATTAGAAATAACCGACAAGCAATGATATTTGACATGTCGGAGAACTCACACTACACAAGCACATCTAGCGGCGGATTCATACGGGATAGTCCTCATTGAAATCTAACATTGTTGAGTTGTTATGCACATACACAGATACTTTATTTTGTTCTCAAACCAACTTTTTAATTATTCTATGTCTATAACAATATCAGTTTATATATATAATGTAACCAAATTATAAATACCTTTGGAGTAATGAGAAATAAATATTATGCGAAACTATGGTTAGAATTAATAAGTGAAGCATTGCAAAACAATTTATCCCATAAATTGTTTTGCTACTTAATAACTGCACCTCTCTCTTTTCTTATTATGCAATTGGTGTTTAGCTTACTCCTCTATGGATACGGCATGAACTTATACAAAGAAAACGTTCTTTAGGAATTGTATTAGCGATATTCGTACCCTATAAAGATTAACAAACAACTGACCTTTAAGTATAAAACTAACAAATAGTTAAGTAATTACAACTAATTACACATAAAATGCTTTGTACAACTTATCAGTAAAATTCTCACTAGGATACGTTTAATGAATTTGTCTCTCTCATAGACTCATATTTTAATGATCATTATTAAGTTTGTTTTATAACAATTCATATTATTTTGTAATTTATTTCTTTATAATATTATGTGTACTGTAAAAGTCCTTAAATTTGGTCAATCTTAGGTTTTACCAGTAAATCTTAAATAGTAGAGTTAGTACCTATATCTCAAAACCAAAATTTACCAGCCATCAATGGTAAAACCTAACATGTACTACATTTTAAAGGTAAAAGCCCAAAAAAACGTCTCTTTTTGAAATCCATACATTCACCAAGGCAATAAATTCTAAGATTTACTGGTATAACTTAGGATTCACAAAAATTCGAAATATTACAGTAACATTTGCATAAAAAAAATGTGCATTCCAAATGAAATTATTCTAGTTCTGTTAACACACAATAATTATACCAAATCACTTTCTTTGTTAAGCTACACACATAGGGGTTTTTCATTATAACTTAATCTAACAAAAATATTTCAAGTTCTACAGTACCATTGGTACAGTTACCATGGTTTGTTTTTCAGAACCTATTGCTTTGATTGATTTTTAATACATTAATGGTTAATTCAACACAGTTAATAACAATAATATAGATAGCCAGGTACATATATCTTAAGATATAGGATATAAGAAATAATTTATTTGTATTTACACCAATTTAATGAAGGAAGCTCACAATTTAAGAAGCACAACACAGAGTAAGATTTCTGTTGTAAGTAATATTGTTACAAAATTTAAAATGTCAAGCCATTATAAACTTTGTAAATCACAACAGATTTAGGGGTTGATCGAATTTTTTATTTTCTATTTTGTTTACTAGACAAAGTTGACTTTCAATCAAAGAAATAGAAACAAATATTAAAGTAATAAGCATTCGTTTGACAAAACAGCCCTTAGATTTAGGAGTTTTACATTCTATAGTAGTAACACTAAAAATAAATACGAGATTTTTGGTGGTAGAAAAGTGTAAAAGTACCCTGGAAATTATAATATTTAAGATCGAAATGGTTAAGTTTTAAAGCTTATAGTATTGTTAGACGAAGTACCAAATTTCGTGGCTTTTAATAATTCGATTTATTATAATCTTCTACTATACGTATGTGACTTATGTTATTTTATTTATTCAATGTTGATAATAAAAATAATTAAGAATGCTTATCATGAAATGTTAATTTGTGTTACTTTCATTCTGTTATTTTTGCCAAACAATAAGATAATTCATTTGTTTTAAATTTCTTGTTTCTTTTTAATATTCTCACTGAAATTATAATATTTAAGCTCATTTAGTAAAAAAATCAATACAGACAGGCGTAGCCTAAAATTATAGAAGATTTGTATCCTATGTTGAATTTTGGCACGCTTATACAGGGTGTTACAGAATTCCGAAATAAAATTTGTAGGTATGTGTTTCGAAATAAAAATTTGTAGGTATCTGAGCGGAGCGCAGGGGCACCTGGGGGAGAGAGGGGGGGTCTGTTTAGGTAGTAGTGATCGTACGCATTTATAGGGTTGTCATAGGCAAGTGTAAAACGATATTTTTATTAATTTCATTAGAAAATAAAAGTGGTCTGAAAGGCGTCAAACTTTCGTAGGTAATTCTATACAAGGAACAGAACCAAACCCTAAAGTTTTATTTCGGACTTTTGTCACACCCTGTATATTCTTTAATTTGTAAGAATATTAGTATCACTGGCTCAATAATTTTAAAATTAAAAACATCTCTTCAAGTGGCGAATATAAAATGGTTTTTACGTACATTAACTTGACACTTGCAGTTACTTTTTATTAAATTTCTAACTCTGGCGTTCACAAAAGCCAACATAATTCATCTCTTAGTGCTAAGCAACCACACATCGATTCTCATGAGAGCCAGTTCCTCCACCCGCTGAAGAATCGGGAGGTGGCTCGGCGCTCCTACCCCCACCACTCCACTCTAGGGCGTCTATCATTTCCATCAGTTCCTTAAACACTGCTATCACTCTCCAATTATATTTCGCCGAGCATTCCACGTACCCACACTTCCAATGCTTTCGTACGAGATTCACTATATTTCTCCTCTTTTCTCTAGAGTCACCACAAGCACTCTCAGCTATAGCCAGCTGCTGTAAGCCACTCGCTGCAGACGGAGTATTACTGCACAGCAGGTCTTGCTTATTCCCCACAACTAGTACCGGAACATTTCTCATATCCCTGCTCTCCACCATTTGGTCTCTCAAAGTTCTGATGTACTGAAACGTTTCAACGTTGGACAAGTCAAAAACTAGGATGTAGGCAGTGGCGTTCCTCAGCCCGTAGAATCTGTAATGTGCCCACTCGTAGTAAGAATTAATAGGGAAGTAAGGTATCACTGGCACGTCTGTTATCTTAACTTCGTACAAGTGTTCATTGATGATCACCGACGGGTAGAACGTGTGTTTGCGGTCAGTCGGCACGTACTCTTCAGAGTAGTCGCTCCAGACGAATTGCTGGAAAGAATGAGGCATGTTAGTGAATTTTATAAATTATATTTTTGAATAAAGAGGTCGAATAGAATAGGTAGGTAATGAAAGTTTAAAACTAGAATGCAACGATAATAGAAAATCTATCAACGGCGATGAAAACTCCAGAGAATTGTATACGATGGACTGGGCAAGTTACTCTCATTTTAAAGCCTATCTAGGGACAGGACATACTTAGACGGAAACACATTTGACGCCATTGGGAGGCAACCTAATATTATTGTTGCCGGATCACATCTTAAGACCGCGACTTCAAATCGTGGAAAGATGCCGTGCATTTTAATAAAATCGGACCGAAGAGAATTGATATCGTTCCTCAGTATAGGTGGAGTGGTCCATACGTTAGTCCAACTAACTAATGCCAAATGTGGCATCAAGTGCTGTTAATTTATTTTTTTGCTCCCTCAAGCTACCTCAGTTTTCCGACCCCACAGAAGAGTTATGAATATGAATTATTTAACTCAAGCACACGTCAAAAGACTCTTGAACAACCGATGATGCTGAGTAACCGGACTGAACAAAAGTGCGAAGGTGTCCTCGGACAAAACATTGAACTCATTACTCGACTAGGTGCAGTAAAGCATATGGAGCTTTAGTCTGCGTTGCGTGATTGGTCCAATTTAAAGGCACCCAGTATTATCTTTTTGAACAATCCCAAAGTATTTGCTTTCGTCACATGCATTTTACTAAATTTCCGGCAACAAATTTCCGCACACCGTGTGCGTCGAGTCCGTGACAGTAATTTTTTTCACGATTCAGGTACTTTTGTCCTCCACGGATAAAAGTCCTTCATCTGCGCATGCCATAATAGCAACAATTTACTGTACAAAGAAACTTTATACCGGCATCAAGATTCTTAGATAACAAAGGAATTCATTACGCATTCAAATTGTTATAGAGCTGGAATCGACTCCATTAAGTGTTCAACATTTAGCTTGGGAATTTCGAGTTTCATGCTCGTGTTTCATACGCCTTTATTAATTTTGTATCATATAGTAAGAGGGTATTATATGTGATACTAACAAGTTCTCAAATTGATTTTGAACTTTACCGCACTTAACATCAAGTTGAAAGTCTAATATGATAATTTTGTTAATACATAAAATGGGGTATTATTTATTGTTGAGAATATTATTAATATTCTTGGCATCTACCAATTAATGAGCTGACTAATGATGATGCTGAAAATATGGAGGAAGATAACAAAGAGAAAGGCTATGCACACCGTTACATTGATACCGATATGTCCGTTGTCCGTTATATACTATACATATAAGTAATTGTACGAGACCTTATCGATGAATACATTAGCGCTTCGAATATCGCTGTTATGTAACAACCCAAGGGCGCTATCAACGGATACTTGTATTGATCATGAAGATATGTAGGACTTCGAGGGTTATTTATGGAACTTCAAACTACAGTATCGTTTATTCGGTAATCTGTCGCAAGTAAAAGCTCATCGAAGTTCAAAATCTGCGACATTGGTTTGCAAATCCTTACACACACAATTACACAATCACATACACCCAACCAAACACACTACCTTCTCTTGTTTTTTTTTCTCCTATTTATGTTTTCGTATTTCACTTAAAAACGGATATGTATTTTAGTCCAGTCATTATATACATTTGGAAATGCAAATGAACCGAGAAAGCCAAATTTTGGATATTACGTGGGGGGTGGCTAGAAAAGCTTAAGTTCAAATTGTCGACCAAAAAAACCTTGTGGGTTTTCCGCCATCTTGAAAAAAGGGTTAAACTCAGTTTTTTTATCATAACTCGGTTCCCCGTCGAGATACGAAAATTTTTATGGAATACTTTTTTGTTGCTCTTTGTACGATCTACAATTAAGGTCCTATACATTTTTCGCCTATCGATCATCGTTATCGAGATATCGATAAAAAAAGCCACAAATTTTGGGAGAAATTTTTTTTTCGCTATTTCCTTCTTTCTCGCGAAAAATATCGAAAAATGTTTCGAATAAAACTTGTAGAGCCTGTTCAGACCTACAAATTCGTTTTTTAATTTTTCATTTTCGAGAAAAATTACGACCTCCAACGCGCCGCAAAGTGAGTAAGACTGTGCCCGGTTTCGATTTAGCCGCTCGCACGGTTGTATCCACAACGTAAAAATTGATGAATTATTGGTTAAGGGAATTATTGGTTAAGGGATTTATTGCTATACAAAATAAATGAATAATCCAGCCAAATTATAAATCAAACACATGAAATTTATTAATCAAAAAATGTTTATGCAGCAAAAATAATAATATTACACGTGGTCATTTTTGTCACACGTTTTTCTTCGTTTTGATGGTCCTGGCTGCTGTTGAAGTTCCTCCTCGGTACACTCTTCGAGTCTTCTCTCTCTCTTAAATTCTTCAATCGCAGGAAATGATGCTGTGACGGTCGAAAAATCGTAATCTTCATCATCGTGATCGTCATTGAGTAATATCTCGACTTTGGCGACATTGTCGCATGTCTGTCCACTACAGTGCAGGCAAATAACCGAGCAACTAATTCCTGCTTTCTTGCACCCACAAGCAGCCCCACACTTTCCTCTACATTTGCACGAAATTAGTTTTAAAAGTTCAGGTGGAGCGGGTGCGGCTGTGGTGCAAATTGGCTCAAATTCCGGCGTCGGGGGCATTGGCGCCGACTTTGCGGCGCCGACTTTGCGGCGCGCTGGAGGTCGTAATCTTTCTCGAAAAATAAAAATTAAAAAACGAATTTGTAGGTCTGAACAGGCTCTACAAGTTTTATTCGAAACATTTTTCGGTATTTTTCGTGAGAAAGAAGGAAATAGCGAAAAAAAAAATATCTCCCAAAATTTGTGGCTTTTTTTATCAATATCTCGACATTTGCATCTCTAACCCGATTTTTCCGACGTAATGACTGGACTATTTGAATTCCTTATAGAAGGTTCGGAAGTGGAGAGACTGGTAATCTGTAATACAGGTCCCCTAGTACAGACGCCAGTCTCTTACATAACTAGATATATGTATTAAGGTCAAGTTAATGATGTATTGTTATGTGAGGGAAGAAATAAAGAAATAATAATAATTAAATCTAAAGAAAAGTTTACTAGAAAAAAAAAATCCACGCGGACCAGGCAGCGGACGGGACTCGAACCCGCATCCTTCGCAATCCGGGCGAATGCACTGACCATTATGCTACCACGGCCCTATTAGCCGCGTCGAAATTTTCCTAGCCTTAAGCTGCAAGGCAGCGCCATCTCTTCGCATTGTAGGCAACCTACAATGTCAAATGAATACTTTTTCAAGTATTAAACATTTGAAAGAAGAAATAGCAATTATAGTTATGATTTTATTTAATTTTAAGGCAGGAGATGGCGCTGCCTTGCAGCTTAAGGCTAGGAAAATTTCGACGCGGCTAATAGGGCCGTGGTAGCATAATGGTCAGTGCATTCGCCCGGATTGCGAAGGATGCGGGTTCGAGTCCCGTCCGCTGCCTGGTCCGCGTGGATTTTTTTCTAGTAAACTTTTCTTTAGATTTAAACATCTAGCAGTTAAATGCTTAAAATTAAATAAAATCATAACAATAATAACAATTATTATTATTACGTTACCGAGATAAATAGTTTAACGTGTCCTTCGAAGCAAGGAGAACATCAAGTAGATATACTGAACGAGAAGACCTATCCAGTTTCGATCAAATGAGTTTCACGTCCACACATAATTATCATCTTTAGCCTGTTAATGTTACTTTTACTGGAACACAGGCTTTCTCCATTGATGCAATAGGGAAATTGAACCCAGACCCACCCACCACACAGACCCAGTGAGGATTGGTCAGTGCTAATGACCCTGAATCTGCAGTCGTTAGCACTGACCAATCAGCAGTGCAGATAAAGTCGGGACCAACAGCTTAGCGGCAAAACACGGAGGAGCTCGGGATAGTGATGACCTCCGTGGCCAGGTGGTATAATATACGCCGGGTTTCATGGCGTCGCCTACTCTGAAGTCCCGGGTTTGAGTCTCGGTGGAAGCAAATGTTAGTATGATGAATACGAGCATTTGTACCTTAGTCATGGATGTTTATATATTGCTAGATAAAATATATTTATATAATAATATGTATTCTATCCGTTACCTTGCATCCCATGACAAAAGCCATACCGTGCTTACTTTGGAGCTAAGCTAATTGGTGTGAGTATGTGAATATTTATTATTATTATTTATGGTAAATCTTCAAACTATAGAAAAAGCTGCTTCCAGAACTGCTCATCAAACGATCGAAACTCAATTTTCGGAAAATACACTATACCTAAGGCACTTGTCCCACCGCCGGCGATGAACTGGAAGGGAGTGGAGCTAGAAACTAGAAACGAGTTAGCCAGCAGCGGGAAGAGAGTACGTAGAGCCCATAGTTTTATCGCTGGACTATTTGCGATAACGCGAGTACGACGGGCGATTACGCATGCCACTAGCTCGTTGAGGCATTCTTGAACAAAAATGTAACCACGCGCATTTTGAGTGAACGTCGCTGAGCCAGTATCGCTGATCGCGTATTATCTTTGATATATTTTGTCGCTCAGCGGCAATCTAGTGGAGAGAGTTCTCGCCGTGTGATCAGTCAGTGATCTACTATTAAGTAATACATGCATGTCTTTTGTTTTCACAGAAAGTACCTATATATCTATTGAACGTTTCTTGAGAGAAAATAGCCGATAGAGTTAGTCGCTTAACAATTACCTAAGGGTTGTGCTATCAAATGAATTCTCGCTCACACATGCCTTCCATTACCGTTTCATATGATCGCAATAACTACAAGCGTCATAATATCGCCGTGACATCGCTAATATATTCATGGAATACGTGATAACATGCCGATGTCGGGTAGGCATCCGGCGCGGCGGAATGCAATTAGGTTATACCGACTTCGCCAATTTTCTCTTGGGCCGTTTCCGTTAAAAATATTGGAATTGAGTAAGAGAGGTGAAAAT